GGAAATGTGAAGAAAAAAAAAGTTATATTTTTATTTTTCCGGGTTTCCATGAAACGATGACGTCAAGTATCAAGCTAAACTTCCTTTTCACTTGTAAATTTATCAGATTCCATGAAATTTTTTGTTTTATGATTGATTACTGTAAGCTGATCGTGTCGGGACCCTTTTTTTGTAGTTTCATTATGTTTTTGAATTTTTGAGGTGGTTTTTTTCAGATGGTTTTAATCGTTTTTTGATATTTTTCTGGAATGAAAGACTTTTGAGGGGTTTAGAATATACTATTGGAATCACAGTGAAAAACAGGGATAGATCAAATTCACTCCCTAAATTTTCGATAAAATCGTCAATTTTTTTGGGGGAATTCGCATCACTCGAATAACATTCCCTGTTTGTGACTCACATCAGCCGAGCCAATTAGCCTCGGCGTCAAATTCACTCGAGAAAGAAGCGCGAAAAATAGCGGGTACATATTTTGTATTGGATTCCAGACACGTCCGTCTCCGGGGTATCAACGCGCGACTGTCGAGGCGACGCCAGCACGATGATCGCCGCCGCGCTCCGCCGACTGCAGAGGTTTCGGTGGCTGAGGTCGACGACGACGCGAAAACACGGCGGAGCCTTCAGCCCGCCGTTAGTCGCCGTCGCGCTCATCTCTTTGGTGCTGCTGCCGACCGCCTCGGCCAACGTCCGTCTCTGTGGAGCGAGGCTCACGTCGACCCTTCTCGCCCTCTGCCGCAACCAAGTCTGCACCAGCGCCCTCACCACTTTCAAACGTCAGTTTTTTTTTTTACATGGGCAGACCATTTTCAAAGAGCCCTCCACCTGACGTAGGCAAAGTCGGAAGTATCCTCCGAGGCTGCTGAAAGGCTCCATAGAAATGTTCCTTTTAGGGTGATGAAGGCTCCTTTTTGCCGCCTTTTTGCTCCATTTTCGCAGCCCTTATGCACCATTTTTTCTGCCTCTCCCTTCACTTGAGCTTTTAAATCCCAGAAAAATGGAAGGCTCGATAAAGGGACTCTTTTTGCTGCCTTTCTGCAAACTTTTTTGAGCCTCTCCCTTTCAGCAGCCATTGCTAATCTAACCTGTCTGTGCTCTCCTATTCTCTTGTCAGTACTCTCTCTCTCTCTCTATTTTCTAGACCATCTGTGCTCTCTTCTTTCTAACATACTATTTTTACCTTCTCTATGACCTCGCCGATAAGGGAAAAGAGGGCGCAGACACGTTAGACAACTTCAAATCCTACGAATCGATTATCTTAGGTGTTGATAGAGAAATGTTGCTTCTACAGTGGTAAAAAAAAAGTGTAGAGATCGTGTGAAACGTGGAGAGGGCCAGACAGACTGAAAACCTGCTCTCTCCACTATTTCTGCACACTCTAGCTTCTGAAAACCGTTGTGTGATGTTTCAAAAAATGAAATCGTTTCGAAATTTCCTACTGAACCTCTAGAAAATTTTATAAATTCTTTAGTCTAATCCAGAATCTCCTTTTCCTTGAAAATATCCTTTGAAAACATATTTCTGTCCAAAAAATCATTCCAAAGTTCAAAAATCAAAATATAAACATTATTAGAGCGGCCTCTGTTTGGTGCCTTCCGGTTCCTGCCAACTAAATTATGCGGAATAATAATATGACCATCCTTGTAATTAAAAATGGGGTTGTGTTCAGATGACGCCTTTTTCTAGACTCAAAAAATAATTTTCTCAAAAAAAAAAATTCTAAAATTTTCTGTACAACTTCCAAGTTTTTGAATCGGAAAATACTTGAGATCATCTTTTTTTAAATAATTTTTCGAATCCCAAGAGAACAATTAACTCTTTGAATCACCTTTTGTCATTAGTTTCTTCAAAAAAAGCAATTTATCGAAAAAAATTAATCATCATATATGGTGATTCAAAAAAATCGAAAAAAAGGGTCAGATGTCTGGATGTTGTTGTAGTAAACATGCGTAGGAGGAACGAAAAAGAGCCGTTTTTAATGTAATTGGCTGTGTCTCGAGGTATCAGGGATCTTTGTAGGATTGGCTATAACTTTCTCATTTTTAATGAAACAAAGTCTATTGGAATCAAGTTTAGAAGTTCGGGTTAAAGTTTGAAATTGTAAATTTCAACTTGTAAGCTTGATTCTAATGGACCATTGTATCAATCTAAGGAAAATTTATAAGAATCGGAACCAAAAAAAAATTGCTTCAAACTTCTCATTTTTAATGAAAGAAGGACTATTGGGATCATGTTTAAAAGTCGAAGTTCAAGTTCAAAATTGTAAATTCCAACTTGTAAGCTTGATTCCAACCAGAGCTTCATTAAAATTAAAAATCTGTAGCCATTCCATAGAGATTTTCGCCTTGAGAATCGAAATCAAGGAAAAAAATGGCTGAGAAGTTCTCATTTTTAATGAAAGAAGGTCTATTGGAATCATGTTTAAAATTTCGAGTTTAAGTTAAAAAAATTGCGAAATTGAACTTGTAAGCTTGATTCCATTGAAAAAAACCATTTCATTAAAATGAAAATTTATAGCCATTCCACAGAGATTTTCGCCTTTAGAATTAAAAACCAAGGAAACATTTTTTTCAAAGTCATAACTGTTATTTACAAAAAATTCTAAACCAATTTTCAAAGTTGATTTTTTCTTTCGTCTGCCCTTTGTATTCATCTCGACCTTTCTTTATTTCATTGTCTATTAAACTACAAAAAAGACTACAAAAAACAAGGTTTTCTCGATTTTCTTTCCTCCCACGCTTCCACCTTGAAAATAATCAAAAAGGAAAAAAGACCGGAGTTGTCGAAAAATGCCAATTATCTTGACTTCCTCTATTCTCCACTTATCCCTCAATTCTCTACTGAAAAGGTCATGATTTGACGGATTTTAAAGGTAAGTGGGGGTTTGAAAAAATTGGGAACACCCTAGTTTCAATGCTATTTCATCATGAAACATTTGAAAAACTTTTCTACCATACAGAATGCTTTTTTTATTTTGGTTCAAGTAGATTTAGATTTCTCTATGGACCCCCTTAGCAGTTTCTGGGCGCAGAATCGGCATAAAAACAGAATCTAGTTGATCTAGTATCATCCAAAATCCTAGCTGTGAGCAGTCCCTAATCATTTTTCAAAGAAAGAATGGCGAAAAACGGGATTGAACTTCTGGAGACCTTAAAAAGGAAGTTTGAAAGGTGGAGGGTTGATAAATTGATGAAAATGTGAGGAGCTTCAAGATCTCCTGATTATGGCATAGTTAATATTGATTTTTGAGATATTTCCCTTCAAATTTTGGGTTCAGGAGGGACTGGAATTCTTTAAAGATGAATTTTGAGACGGAATATCTACAAAACTTTTCAAGTTTTACACAAAATCTCCTCTAATCTGAAAAAAAAGAGATTCTAAAACAAATTTGCATCGACCCTTCCTCTACCTTTTAGATTTTCCTTGCAAGGTCATTTAGTACTTTTTACATTTTTTTGATGATAAAATATAATTATTAAGCCTTTACTGAAAATGGATGAAAGCGATATCGCAAAAGTATTTCAGCTCATTTGCGACATCGCTTCTCTCGGGAAAAAAGCGATGTAACGCCGAGGAAAATGCGAGCACGTCGCGGCAAAAAATGCGGTTCATTCGCGATATCGCTTCTCTCGGGAGAAGAGCGATGTCGCGTCGAAGAGTATGCAAGTCCTTCGTGACAAAAAACGCAGTTCATTCGCGATATCGCTTTTCTCCCCGTGCACTAGGCATATACAAACTTTACTGACTTCAATAAAGTTTAAAAAGCTCTCAAAACGCCATAATTCAACTCATTTTTCTTGCAGGAACGGCCGTGACGCCATGGCTGCCTGAAGGAGGACCTCTACTACTGCATCGTATGACGAAACGCGGCGGAATCGCGACGGAATGCTGTGAAAAGCGGTGCTCATTCACCTACCTGAAGACCTACTGCTGCAACATGTGACACCCTAATTTTCCTCAGCTTCTCCTTAACAAAAATTGGTCCTTACGAGTTTTTTTCCCCACTTCTTCTTCTTGTAGTTTCCCTTCGGCGATGTTGGCGATTTGTGTGTGATTACTTTTCTCGTTTTTTGCGTTAATTTATGTTTAGAGATGTTAATTGTGCTCATGTTGGCTGTGCAAGTCACCCCTCCGGATCTCAAATATTGCTTTTTTCATCGGTGATTTTATTTTTTCGAAGTAAACTTTTTGTAGTTAGAAAATGAACAGTTAAAGAAAGTTTGGTGACAACTAAAACCTCAAAGAGTTCATGTAGGAAGACTACAGTAAAACTGTAGTAAAACTGGAAAACAACGCGAAAAAATTCCTTCGAAATTGGATAAAGCTGAACTGAAAACTGTATACAAAAGTGTTTTAACATCGTTAATTTTTTTCGAAATGAGACATCAAAATTACATTTTTTTTTTTGGGATCAGGAAAAAATTTTGCATAGTAAAAGCTTGAAAAATTACAGTTTTCATTTTTCCAAAATCATTCCCAGTCATTCTCGGTCTCATAACTTTCATATCTTTTAGAAGATCTCGGAAAAAGTTATATTTTTGAACTCAGCGGGCAATTCTGAACAAGAATATGCTTCACGAACTTTAAATAAACTCAAAAATAACGATTTTCAATTTTTCCAAAAATACTCCTTGGAACGCCCAACTAGCGGTATCGAAAAATCAAATCCGGTTTTTTTTTTCAGATTTTCGAGTGAAAAGCAATTTTCGATACGTACGAAATATATTACAGGGTAACTATGAATCAAAAATTCTTACAGAAAAGTGAAAAAGACAAAAATAATGTTGTCGGGCCAAAAAAAAAAAATTTAAAACGGCGAAACTCGAAAAATTTGACTATGCCTCTTTAAAACTCCATAAAAAAAAAATTCAAACAGACTATAATTCAGTTCAAACCGTTCCGCTTCCGCTACAGCAAAGCAGCTGCCATTTTTTTGGCGCCAAACAGAACTCGATGATAAGCAAATTAATCGATTCTGACCGGGGTCTCTATTCTTGTTTAGCATGTCCAGAAGGACGATTCGTTTCCGGAGCCAGAACTCCATCGACGATGGCAAATTTCATGTCGGTCACTTTTTTCGTTTATTTTATGAAATGTTTTTGAAATTCAGTTACACGGGAGCAGCGTTTCCGTGGACAATAGCGCCAAGGAAATCATCCAAAAGATCAATTTTTTGGAAGAAGAGGTGGTTTTTTAAAAATTTCGTTCTTGTATCTTTCCAGTTTGAAAAAAAAAATCAGGGAATTGAAAAGGTTATCAAAAATTTAAAGATCAGGATTTTGTAGGGCTTTTTTTCATTTATTTCGCAACTTGAAGCCTGTTCATGATGAAGTACGCTTCTCATGGTGAAAAAGCATTTGGAGGCTTCAAAACGACAAAAATCAATTTTTCGACTTGTGGAGTTGAACCTGTTAGCTCAAAGACTAAACTTAAACAAATTTCAAAATATTCCCTGACAATCCTTTTTAAACCCCCCCACCCCCCCTAATGTCCTTCAAGACGTAATGTTTCCTCCTCTGAACGTCCCAAAACCTTCAGGAGAAGCTCTTCTTGACCTATGACGTCATCGAGCCGAACCCACGGTTTTCCACCGTCGGCGGCACGATTTACTCGTTCATCAACCAGACCCTCGAGCCTATCCTGCACTGTGAACTGAACCAAATCAAAGACCAACGTCTGATCGACCTCATCATTTTCGCCTTCTTCAAACGGTTGGGAGGATTTTTTGATTGCGAGGAAATGTCTTCAGAAAAGATGTGATCCCAAGATGGAACGAGTGCGAACATCCGATGTTTGCCGGCTTACTTGTGGTAAGGGGATAATCTTAGGAACTCCATAATGGTCCCTATAGGGGCGACCTTAGGGGCCCCTGGAGGCTCTATTCTAGGGGCGACTTTACAACCCTATAATGACCACGAAAGCTTGCAAAAATTGTCCCTACAGGGGTGACCTTAGGGGCCCTTGGAGGGTCTATTCTAGGGACTACTTCACCAACCCTATAGGGTCCACTTAAGCTTGCAAAAGTGGTCCCTATAGGGACATGCTAGTCGATAATTTACATGAACTCTATGCGAAGAAGCATTTCCATGCAAAAACTGAAAAATAACCTTTTTTGAATAAAAATAAACGACTTCTATAGGGACCACTCAAGCTTTGGGGACTAAGGGACCAGACTCTAAACCCCTATAGGGACCTCTTTTTTGGTTCCTAGAGAGGCTGTTTTCCCCCTAACCCCTATAGGGGCCGCTCTGGAATTCATAAGATAGGACTTTCGATAAAATTCTGATTTCGAATGAAAAAAATGCTATTTTTTTAAATGATAGATAAAGCTGGTCTCCGTATCTCCGTAATCACGAAAAATTACTTTGACCCAAATTTTTGAGAAGTTTGATTATTACTTGTTCAATTTTTAGTGCTCTCTTCTTTTTTCTCGACATTTTTTGACCCCAGATTCAAAATCAGCGTGAAAAACTGCATCTACCAAACCTAGCCTTAATCAAAATCCCAATTTTGAGCTCACATCATTCCCAACTTGGTATAAATCAGTTTATCAGGTCTACATCAGCAACAAGATGCGGAAAATGTTCCTAAATCAACACGAGCCGATCCTGGCCGAAGCCTACGAAGCCATGCAAAAGTCAGAAATCAAAACTTGTTTTTCAAACTATTTATTATAATTTCAAGCCGGTTCGACGACGAATGCACGGCCCTGCTGGATCAGTGTTTCCATACTTCGGAAAAAGACGCGAGATCTGCTCTTGATGTCAATTATCACATTTTCATACATCATGATGGAAGTTCAGCCGCAAATCTTGATATTGAACTGATGTCTTTGGCGTCGGAGGGAAAAGCTAAGGTTCGCGATTTTTTTCAATTTTTTAATGAGTCTGATACAAAAAATGTGAGATATAACACTTATTTCTCTGACCGGAGGCCTTGGGAGATATTTTGAAGGTTCACCCGACTTTAAACGGCTTGCGCATTGGCACCAAAAGGCATTAGAGCGAACCAAATAACATTTATTTCTAATAAACTTCATTTAAAAATATGAACCGTAAACATATATATCTCTGGTTGGGAGCCTTTGGAAGTTTTAAAAAGCTGCACCCGTCCTTAAACGACTTACGCGCAATAGCATCAAAAGGCGTTGGATCAAGAAAATCAAGTTTATAGCTAATGAGCTTTGATCAAAAAGCATGAAGCATACACCCGTTTTAAACTTATACTTTTGTTTGAAGCCTTTGGAAGCATTTGAAAGCTGCATCCGACTCAAAACGACTTGCGCGCAATAGCATCAGAACACGTTTGAGCGATCCAACCAAGTTTATAGTTAATAACCTTGATTTAAAAATATGAGGCCCGGTATATACTTATTTCTCTAACTGAAAGCCTTCGAATGCATATGAGAAGGTTTCGTCCGACTCAAAACGGCTTACGCGCAATGTCAGCCGAAGGCTTTGAATCGAGACGGCATCATGAGTCATTGAAGCGAGCCAATCAAGTTTATAGCTAATAGCCTTGATTCAAAAGTATGAGACCCGGCTTATTTCTCTAACAAGAAGCCTTTGGACGGACCCAAAAAGGCTTCGCCCGACTAAAAACGGCTTGCGCGCGACGGCATCAAAAGTCATTGAAGCGAGCCGAACTTTTTTGTTTAGCCCAATCTTTCCCTCATTTTTCAAAAGTTGACGACTTTCCGATTTTCAAAACGACCTCCTTGCATACATCAATGTTGGATTTTATCTAATATTATTCCAAAAAGATCCGAATTTTCAGAATTTCCTGGCCCACCCTGCCTGCCAACGGGAAATTGAGCGCCGCTGGCAGCCTGGCTTCAAAATTGGACAGGTAAAACTTGATTAACTGAAATAACTAACCTTTCAGTTCGTCTTTTGTCTATTTTTCTTCTTCCCACCGTTATTTTTCCTACGCGGCCGGAAGCGGATGAAACGTCGGGAGGTGAAATCGTTAAGAGTTCGCGTCAAAAGTCCTGTTTCCTATTTGACGTTGGCTTTTCTTTGTTTTTTTTATATTTTCAGCTTGTTTTCAGGAATTTTTGGCTTCGTATTTTCAGCTTCTACACGTCACCCAATGCAAAATATGTCATACACACGGTCGGTTTTTGAAAATTTCGTAAAAAGTTTTGTGGACAAAAAGTAGGGATTTTAGTGAAAATTCATTATTAGCAAATCTGGGAAAAATTTTAGTGGCCACTATAGTAGTCAAATCAGTGGCCACTTAAGAGGTTAAAAATTAGTGGCCACTATTGAGGTCTGAGTGCTACTACTAGATCACTAGTGGTCACTTTAGGGGTCAATGGATCAACATAACTGGTCCAATCTGTTTGTTTTAAAGTTATCAGAGTTACTGGAAGGAATAGTGGATGAAAAACTACTGAAGTAGCCACTATGTAGAGAACCCCTATAGCGGCCACTAAAACAGAAAAATAGTGGCCAGTACAGAGGTGGGTTTAGTGCCCACTTTAGTGTTCTCACAAAGTAGTCCGTAAAAATTTTCCCAAAATTTAAGAGAATTATTTTAAGAGTAATTTAGTACAAATGGATTAGTTCAATTTGAATTTAAAGGTCTCCCGAATCCTCTACGTGGTTTTCTACGCCTACGTCCTGATGACGATGCGTCGAAAAACGATGATTCTGAACGAATTGGAAGAATTTTGGGACGAAATCATCATAATCACCTGGCACTGTGCCTACCTTATCGAAATGGCCGTCATGTCCTACCAAAGGGTTTCCTAAGATATAGACTATATATCATATAGTAATATTCGAGTTCTGACGCTTTCAGGGATTCCTAGCCTGGTCGCAAAGTCACACGGCCGACTTCTACCGTAACCTTCTTATATTAATTACTGTATTTTCCTGGTGCATCGCCGTCATTGTCCCTCCACAGAGGTAGTTCTAATGCCACCGCGCGCAAGTCGTTTTGGGTCGGGCGCGCCGAGAAAATTGCAAAATTTTATAGTCCGTCCGCCGCAACTTGACAGTTTTTGCATGACTGCGTCTCTCATTCTCTCACCGGCTAGGTCAGAGAAACATAAAAATAGCACGTAAACATAAGAGAGACGTCGAGAGATGAGGAGGGCGTAGAGAAGTCCCGCCCTTTCAAGTCGCGAAAAACGGACCATTGGAAAATGGGTAAATTCCTGATTTAAAAGTTGTTTCAAAAAACGCAAAAATGAAATAACCGCCACGGGGATCGAACCAGCGACCTCTCAAGCTAACTTCGGACACAGACCGGCCCGAGCTTTCGCCATCGTCATCGCCGACCTTTTTTTCTACTTCTCATTCGTTTTTGCAACGATTCGACTCATGAAAGTGGCAAATGTGGATGCTTTCTTTGGATCGATCGTTCTAATGATTAAAAAAATGGTTTGATGATTTCATCTCAACATAATATTTATGTTTTCAGATGCCGATAATGCTGAAATTCCTTGTAGTGTTCTTGGTCTTCTGGTTCACCTATGCAGTCTGTCACATCAGCCTTGCTGGTTGGTTTAGAATAAATGAGAATTATCCATGGAGCGCTCTTACTTTGGCTCAAACTAAACTTCCTTTTAGGGCACCTAAAAAGCACCCCGAACATTACCGACGTCGTTTTCCCTTGGCTACTTTTTAGCAGTGGCGCTTTCGAGATTTTCGGAGAAGCTGACGATGAGGACAAGTTGGGTGAGGCTCCTTCTAGGTTCTTTAATAATCAGAAGTTACAGGACAAGTCCGGAAATGTTCCTCAGCTCCCCTAAACTGGGACAACCTTACGGATTCCACAATACAATGCTGGTTCAAAGTTAGTCAAAGATCAAGAAAAACAATATTTTCTAATTTTAAGTCCAGCATGATTCCAATCTTTCTATTCTTCTACATGTTGGTCTCCAGTGTCCTTCTTGTCAACCTTGTGACCGCCCTTTTATCGTTAGTTTTCATACTTTTCGTCTGACTTGTCTGCACCCTCTCTTCTCTCATCTAGATGCTCGAAGAGGGTGCAGAGATGTCAGACTTTTTTCAAGTTATGGCTAATTAACTAAACTTGAATAATAATTTTAGAAAGAAATACGAAGACATCGACAAGGTCTCGCATGTCTACTGGAAGTACAAATTGTATAGTCGACTGATTGAGTAAGTTTCTCGAAAGATAAGTGATCACTGTAGGGGCCTCATCTCAAAAACCCTCCAGGGACCACTTCACTTCAATGACTAATAAAACTACAGATACGAGGAGAAGATTTGGATTCCGGCTCCCCTTTCTTTGATCTTCTACGTCCTGAAGACCTTCTGTTTCTTCCCATCGAAAATTCCGTATCTAGGAGTCCCTTTCCGACATTTATTGAAATGCTTCCGAGTTTTTGAAGGTCTATCCTTTAAAAATCACCTAAATTAAATTTTCAATTTTAGGCAGAAGCTACTCAAAAGAAAGGTTGAAATCAAGGAAGCCTGGAAATTTGGATGCTCAATCCTTTTTGGAAACCGACAAGGAGGCCGTGGTCTTTGTCAGGAAACAAATGGACATTCTGGTGAGTTTTTTTCAGACTTGATAGCTTTCCTGAAGTGTAAGCGCGCAAGTAGTTTTGGGTCGGGCGCAAGCCAAGCCTTCGATTCAGACTGAAATTTTCAGGCGGCCACCAAGCAAGCCCACATTTTGGAGACCGAAACGATCAAAAAACGGTTCGAAGCGATTATGAGGGAATTTGAGCGCTCTTCGAACTTTCGACGGATTCGATCTCAAACTGGACATTTTTAGCCTTGTTCGAATCAACTTATGTATAGAATTTGCTTTTTCTGTGAATAAATTTTTGGAAAGAACAAAAAAAATATCATTTAGAAGTGCAAATTTATGAGAAAAGTTCAACTTTCCTCTCCCTTTTCCCATTAAAAAATGAAATCAAATGAAATTTCGCTAAGAAAACCCCGTTTCTAACTGAAACTTGGAACTAATATAGTCCAAAAATCGGGCTCGCCCAATGTTTGCCCGGTCCATTCACGTTGCTATGGCCTCGACTCTCGATCCTTTTGAATTCGAGGCGATTATTTTTCCTCCCTCAACGTGTGTATTTTGCGCTTCTCCCACAGGCTTGTATACATTTACTATATTTATATCGTTTTCTACGACCTTTCCAGCCTATAAACAGACTTTTTCGTCGAAAAACGTGTGAAAAAGTCGTTTTGAAGCGTTTTATTCTTGAATTTTTGGATTTTTTCATAACCTTTCCACACTCAGTTTCTTACTGGTTTACTCAAAAATGCAATTTCCTTAAAATAAAAAATGCAATTAAAAAACCAGATTTTTATCAAGTTGTTATCGTGTCTTTTTGCCAAGTTATATGATTATTTGCTCAATCGATAAGGGTTCCTTTTGCTCACTTGGAATAGTGCATTAATCCTTTTTTTGACCTTTTCAAGCTTCATTTAATGATTTATAGAGTTTTTTTTTTCGAAAAATGTCCATTTTTGCAGAAAATGACAGGGAATGTAGCGACTCCTACTACGGACTCAAAGGTTTTTCCACTTTTTGATTTTTGAAGGTTTTTTTCTGAATTAATTATTCGTTAGGGACTCGGCTGGTATCAAAAAAAAGCTCAAAAAAATAACTTTTTCTTTCAAATGGGCTTTACGAAACAAATTTTAATGAAATAGGAGAAATTTCCGAGATTCCAAGGTCTTAAAACTTATTAAAAGCCTCAAAATGTCTCTTGAATCGTCCTAAAAGCAAACTGAAAATCAAAATTTGAATTTTTAACAGTTTAGAAGAAATTATTCACTCAAGGGACTAGAAAAATTCCGAAAAGCGCATCTTTTTGGTATTGCTCAGTATTGATGAAAAAGGCATATAGTGATCACTTAAGAGATTTTTTCTACTCAAAAGGATAGCTCAATTCTTCATCAAGTAGCAATGATTTAAAGAAGAAAAAGAGCAACAAATATTTAAAAAAAAACGTGAAATCAGAATTATTTCTGAAACACTGGAACCTCTATCCGGGGAATCCCATCAAACGTGGCATTTTGGGAATTTGCGCAGGCCCAAAAAAGGACTTTTTTCGTTTCCAACGAGAAAAAAAGGCGACTCTCTGGGCAACGATCGCACTCTATCGCCACGCCACAGTCCCATATATATATTTTTTTACGCTGCTTTTCAACCTCCATTTGTTTTTCGACCCGCAAAAAATGCACAGCTTTCGCCCGCTCATCATTTTCTTCCAAAAACACCCAGTCCACCAAGTTTATTTTCGAATCAACTTGATTTTAATGATGGAGGAATAATTCCAGTTATGGCAAACCTTGATTTCTGTCCAGTTCGGGTCGATGGTCCTCCTCACGAGCCAGCAAACTGGAATGCCTTTTTTGGTCCGAACTGCAAACAAGGTTTCTACTTACTTAATGCGAAACATGGCCTTCAAAAAAAAAAGTTTCTTTCCATCCAAATTTTAACATTCCACTTGAAACTGCACAAAAGTTTGATTTTTGCAGAAAACAGACTTGAAAATGCATTGAAAAAGGGCGAAGAGTACGTTTTTGAAAGAGATAACACTTAGTGTCGACCGTTTTTTGCTAGCTGAGATATCTGAAATTCAAAAACTGAGACTCATTTCCTTTTTTGATAAAAAAAAAACATAATCAACGATACAAAAAGACCGGGAAAGTTTTTATAAGCAAGAGAAATTTTTAAAAAAATTCCGTTTTTTTGAGACCGAAAATGAGCCCTTAGGTACTTTTTTTGAGGGTGAGTAGATAGATATAGACACAATTTTATTAAAAGTTTAATTAATACATAACCGAAAAAATTACAAAAGTAAAGCAAAAGAATGGAAAAAACAAAAAAATTTTCGAAGCTTCATTCATTTTACGGCAAAGATGCTCCATGGAACGTCAATTTTCCATTTTTTTTTTCTCTTTTTTTCTTATTTTCTCTTTTTTCAGAGCCATTTCCTACCAACAACATGTGTATTCATGATGGAGGTGCTGAAACTTCTTTTCTGTTTCCTGGTCGTTTGGAAGAATTGCGCTTCTTTTCCGAAGTAGGGTTTGACAGAACTTCAAACGTAAATTTGTATCTATAAGTGAAAAATTATTTACAGAGCTTTTTCCACGTTGAAAGCCTCTGTCTGGAACAACAAAGTCGAGACTTTGAAGGTTTTTCGAATAGAAAGTGTTATATTTTTAATTGTTTTTTCCAGGTCTCGATTCCAGCCGTTGTTTATGCCATTCAAAACAATCTTTACTACATCGCCTTGGCTAATATTGACGCCACGACGTACTCAGTAAGGCCACAAGCTTCAATTTCTTCAAAATAATGAATAATCTTTAAGGTGACTTACCAATTGAGGATACTCACAACGGCAGTTTTGTCAGTCTGTCTCCTTCAAAAAAGGCTCTCCGTTGAGCAATGGGGAGCGCTGATTTTGTCGCTTTTCGGTGTTATTTTTGTTCAGGTTTAATTCGAGTCATTTATTTTCAATTTCCGTCTTCTTCAGGTTGACCAGACAAAGTCGGTGGCGGCTTCGGTGGCTGGGAATAAAGTTCTGGGAATTTTGTCGACTTTTGGAATGTGCTGGACGAGCGCTTTTGCGGGTATCTTGTTGAGAAGATAAAAAAGGACCTTGAGATTAGAATTTAGTGAATTTTGCTCCTTCAAAATGCTTTGCTGAAACGTTCTTTTTGACTCAAAATTGAATAAATTAAAAAATCTGAAAAGCAAGTTTTTTCCAGGCGTGTACTTTGAAAAAATGCTGAAAGACGCTTCGGCCGACGTTTGGATTCAAAATATTCGACTCTCCTTGCTCACTTTGATTTTTGCCGCTCTGACGATGGTTGTCAGTGATTTTACCAAAATTATTGACGGTTAGTCAATTAAAACCTCGGAATTTATTTAAAATTTTCTAGACGGTTTCTTCCAAGGCTGGACTTCCATAGTCTGGCTCGTTACCGTACTCAACTCGGTTGGTGGAATTTGCGTGTCGATAGTCATGAAATACGCGGACAACGTCAAAAAGACTTACTGCCAGTCTATAGCTATTGGTAAGTTTTTTAGGCATCTAATTTTTTTGGCTCATAAAATTTTTTAATAGAGCTTTTTTCGCTTTAATGTGCACTTAGAAATAATTGTTTTTGGTTTTTTTTTTTGTCATTCACAGGGTTGAGCTTCCGAAACCATTTATTGCTAGGGAAATGCCCCTCAAGGACTACTTGAAGACGTCACTAAAGTGACCACTAAAACCACCTCTATAGAATACACTGTTTGGCGTATTAGTGACCACTATAGTAGTTTTAGTAGTGCCACTCAGACCTCTAAAGAGGCCACTAATTTTAGGCCACTTAAGTGGTCACTAATTAAACTACTATAGCGGCTACTGAAACGATAAAACCCTACAGTGGCCTCTAAAAGTTTTCCCACAATTCAAAACCCTCATCACTCTGAACTTGTCTTCAACAATATAAATTGCCATTTTCCTCAAGTTCTTTTTTTTAAAGTTGAAATTCCAGGCCTCACTGCTCTAATATCAATCTTCCTGGGAGAAAGAACATCTACGGCCATGCTTTTCGAAGGAGTCACCATGGTGATCGTGTCCGTCTTCTTGTACGCCATGTACCCTCCTCACGAGTACAAGAAAATCCCGCAAACTCCTGAGATTGACGAAGATGAAGAGCTGGGTTTTGTAGAAAACGAAAAAGATGTACACAATGTATGAATTTTCTCTGTTAGATTTGTCAATGGTTATATGGGTACTTTATCTGTGATATTTCAGTTTCATTTACGGGTTTTTAGCATTGGATAATTTATTTTCTCATGGAATAAAGCCATTTTCTCGGTTTTTTCTGTTATTCGGAACACTGAGAATTCAAAGAAAGAAGAAAATCAAGTAAAATGAAAAAGGATTTATTTTGGCTTGAGGGATTACTGTAGCGGTCCTCTGCAGTTTGCACCGAAATTTTGCACACAAAACTCGACCTCACGACACACATTTTTTTGCTGTTTTTTTTTTTTATGAAATAATTATTATATTTTTGAGCCTATTGTTTTCTATTTTTTGTGATAACCACGAATAGTTTCGAATTTCAATGAAAGTTACTCGTACATTATATAGCAATATATCGTTTTTCACCTATTTTCGATTTATCAGTTTTTTTTTTGTTCAAGCACGTAGTTCAATATTTAAGCTCCTTTTTCCAGCATGGACGTCGATTTGACGGCGGTTGAGGTTATTTTTGCTCAGAAACTTGCATGTGGTGAGCCGACGACGAGGCGTCGTGCCTTGAAAGTCCTTCACGAATGGATCGTCGATCAATCATCTAAACGTCGTCAGTCTCCACTCCTTTTTTAGTTCCTTCAAGGAAAACTTTCAGCTTTTGATGAGAATGATTTGAAAAGGTTATGCAAAGGTCTGCATTACGTCATGTGGATGCAGGACAAAATGTTGATGCAGGTTGTTTTTCTGGATTTTTTTAAGTGAACGAGAAAAAATTCAGGAAGAATTGGCGGATAGGATCGCTGGACTTTTAACTGTTTTCAAATCAGAGGAAGAGCGAGTTCTTTATGTAAAAGCCTTCTTGGAGAGTTTGTCAGTGGAATGGATCCATATTGATCGCTGGCGAATGGATAAGTTCTTGATGGTTATTTTAAATTATTTTCTAATTTGATAGATTTTTTTAAAGGAAGTCCGAAGGATGTTGAGATCTGTATTCGCTCATCTTGCCTCCTTGTCTTGGAAAAAAAGAAATACGGGAAAAGTACTGGGACGCCTTCAAACAAACGGCCATTTCTGATGGTTTTCATCAGGAATTTCGAAAAAAAAGTTCATTTTTATAACTTTAGATAATAACTTCCGGGAATCTTTAAAGTTCCATTTTGCTTCCTTATTGCTTGATGAGCTGGATCTGGCTGGTTAGTTAAAATTGACTCTTATTTTATTAATTTTTCGAGAGTTTTCAGGCGGTTTGAATAAAAATCAAGTCATGTGGTGTTTGCAGCCATACGCCGATCTGCTCGGCCAGCGGTCAATCAGGTTTTTTTTCCGAAATCAAGACTTTTTTAAGGAAAAAGTAACCCTTTAGTGACTACTTCTTCGATTCGATTTGCGAAGAGATTTTTATGACCATTTTGCATCAAAGAAGTGAAGTTTTCGCGGCGATGGAACAGGGAGAAGATCCTGCTGAACAGAGCGGCGGAATCGAGGTTTTAATTTTTTTTTTTAAAGGAGCAAGGATGAATTTTTAAATAAGTCTCAAGACGAAGATTCTTTCTTAGCGTTTATTTTGAGTCTTTGAATGCTACTGAATCTTCAACCACCACAAAAATTTGAATTTTCTTTGAGTAACAAGAAGGTTTTTTTCAGTTCGACTACAAAGGCCTGAGCAAAATGCTGTTCGATGTTGGAAAAAAGCCGGACGTGACGTCGAAACGAAGAGCCAAGATATACGCCTTGGTCAAAAAGTGAGTGATTTTTGAAAGAGTTCTTGAGTTATAACCTTAGGAAAACTCGTAAAGAAATTGTGCAAGTTTAAAATTATTCCCATTGATATTCGATTTTTTTTAGGCTCTACACGCACAAGTGTATACTAAAACCTGAACTACCTGAATTTTGAAAAACTGTTTTTTTTTAATGAGAAAAATGATAACTTCTAAGAAAGACCAAAAACTCGATATTCTGACTATTTTTCCGTTTTTCAGCCCGGTATTAATATGCTTGTTGTAAAACGTGAATTTCAAAGGTCTTGTAACTCTAGAGAATGTTAAAAGAAGGTGCTTCAAGTTTTATGAAAGACCAACGAAAATTTATTTTCTGATTATTTTTCTGATCTTCGGCCAAGTGTTCATATGCTTGTAGTAGAACCTGAAGTGCGTGAATTTCAAAGTTCTTAGAAATTTGGAGAATTTTGAAAGGCTGTGGTTAAACTTTTTAAAAAATCGATATTCTCATTATTTTTTTCTGATTTTTTTGGCGGAGCATTTAATTTTAGTGCATATGCTCGTAGTAAAACCTAAGCTTCGTGAATTTTAAAATGTCGGAAATCTGGAAAATGTTGTAAAGAGGTGCTTTAACTTCTAAGAAAGACCAAGAACTCGATATTCTGACTTTTTTTTTTCTGGTTTTTGGCCAAATATTAATATTTTAGTAGCAAAACCTAAACTGTAGGATTCTTAAAATTTTTAAAATTTGGAGAAGGTTTGAAGGAGGGGCTTGAGTTTTGGAGTAGACTAAAGTAAAAATAAATTTTTTTATGTAGAAGAATGTTTCTTTACTCCAAAATAAAAAAAAACCCCCCATTTCTAGGTTTGACACGGCGGCTTCTGGCTCAGATCCTCTCCTTTTCGTGCCCCCAGAACCTGCCGAAAAGCTCACCAACGCCGATTTCGTCGAAGCCGAGAAGAGGATTTTGAAGATGGACGAGGAGATCCGGAAAGAACGGGAGAAGAGCAAGAAGGCCAGAAAGTGAATTTATTTTCCTGGATTCTATAATTTTAATTAAATAGAGAGTTGAGAGGAAATAGGAGCAAAAAGAAAATTTCTCGCCAAAATTTTCGATTTCTATAACGGATAGGTAGAGTTATAGTGCTTGGAGGATCAATTAAAGTCATAAATTATGTTATTTTTATGCTTCATTTCAATTTCAGCTCGTTTAAATTGCACTACAAAACTTGAAAAAAGCCAAGTTATACTTTTTTTTTTTAAAAGTGTCCACTTTAGGGAAGCCAAGGCCCGAGCCGCCGGTCTCTCAACGCCGAGCGAGAAAAAACCAAAAAAGACGGTTTCCGTAAAGAAAACCAAGCTTTCAAAGAAGAAAAAGTCGGTCAAAAGCCCCGGAATCATCAAGAAAAAGCCGATGAAGAAACGCGCAAAATAGTTGGTTTTTTTCCCACCACTTTTATTGTTATTCCGTTATTTGCTGTTACGTTTTTTTTGTTGAGAAATGTAGAAAAATTCTTCATTTTATTGACATTCGAACCGTTTTTGCTCCACAAAGTTGTTCAAAATTGGATTGAACTGATTCCGCCCGGCGGGATTTTTTCGCGTTGTTGGGGCGGTGTGACGATTTTCTCGGTGGCCTCTGGATCTTCTCTTTTGACGGCGATTGGAGCGTTTGACTGGAAATTTTCGGGATTTTCTACTGCTAGGAAGGAGGAAAACAGAAATATGGGACATATTGGGACAAAATAGAAGAGTGGGAACACCGTTTGAACTTTTTATCGAGTCAAGAAAAATAAGAGGTTCTAAATTTTGTTTCAAGTAGGTTCTTGGAAGTCACTGGTTGGTATGAAATTTTTGGGAAGAGGTATTTTAAGCATTTTTGGAACTTTTAGGGATTTTTTTTCTGATCACTTTGCTTTTAGACGTGTTTTTTTTTTGGATTTTATGATTATTCCCTTCTTTGACTTTTCTGATTCAACCAGAAGAATATGGAGCATCTGAAAATCCCCCGTTAGAAACATTGAAAGCTTGTAGCTTTGCATTTTTTCTTCGCGAAAGTCCGGAAAAATATCATCAATACAAAATGAGAACAGCACAACTACACACAGACATACACATTTATTATCAAAGTCCAGGAAGAAGACGTCCACAATTATTAGGACCGGACGACTGCTGTTGCTTTCTGAACAGAACACAAAACATCAAAAAACAAAATAAACACCATTAGGTAGACATTTAGGTTTTGGATTTTTCCGAGAATTTGTCAAAACACCCTTTGGAGGTCTTGATAAAGTTCTATCATAGTTCTCGTCTTTGAAAAATCATTTTTAGTGATTTTGAGATGTGAACCTGAAGACTTTCTCATCTTCATTCATCGAGATTTATTTGAGACTCCCTTTAAATCTATATTTTTCGCCTTAAAAGCGCCAAAAATCGTCGATTTTTCTATTTCGAAAGTAACGTACTAACTTTGAGGCTTCATAACTTTCCAAGAAAGCAAAAGGCTTCAAAAAGTTCTGCCTCAAGCTAATTCCTCAAGCTAAAGGGGCTGGGAAGGTGAAGAAGATAATTGGAAAAAGGTGGGAAGGTGAATGGAAGCTAGAAAGTCTTGTGAAAGCCTTCGGAAGGTGTGCAGAAGGTAGTTGGAAGGTCCTTAGAAGGTAAAAAGTTTAAAATTTCGGGCAACTTGCCGGAAGGCTTTCAGCAGGCTTCTGGAAGGTAAGTAGAAGGCGTTGGGAAACTATTCGGAAGGCGTTTGACCTCTTGCTGGAACCTTCCAAACGCCTTCCAAGGAGCCATGAGGAGATTTTCCCAACGCCTTCCCAGTACCTTCCGAACACCTTCTTAGAAATCGCCTGATTGGAGTAGAACCATGAGGCTTCAGAGTAAATCTCAGCCAAATTTCAACAAGTTCTCAAACTTTTTTTCACTGTCCCTTCAAAACAAAATTATTGGGCAAAGAGTATTCCAACAATCCTCAAAAAATCCAGAATCCTTCGATAGTTCCGTACCTTGCCGCGGTTGGCGATAGCCGAAAATACGAACGGCGAATCCGGCGGCAACTCGACAAATCGGCCAGACCCAGGCTGAGTGTTGAGCTTTCCGTTGGCCCAAGCCACCTTCCCGCGGACTATCGTCACCTCAGGAACCCCGTGGACCGACATCCCTTCGAAGATGTTAAAGTCCACGTTCTGAGGATAAATAAGATTCATAATTGCACCAATAAAACGCAAACATGATGATGTGTGTCCTTGGAGATGACCCGGCTGGCTTTGGGATTCCAGACGACAATGTCGGCGTCAGAACCGACGGCGATTCGGCCCTTCTTCGGGTAGATGTTGAAGATTTTGGCTGCTGTCGAGCTGAACTTCATCTTCAGATTCCTTGCAAGGATTCAAAGGGAACCTCGTGATTTGAACAAAACGCATCGGATCAATAATTCCGCTGTGGACGCCGCGCTCCCAAACCACCGACATTCGGTCCTCGACGCCGTTCACACCGTTGGGGATTTTTGTAAAGTCGTGTCTGAAAATCGTAAGAGTCCTTGAGCTTGACTTTTGGCTTTTTTGAGTACCTTCCAAGGGACTTCTGCTTGCAATCGAAGGTGCAGTTGTCCGTGGCTGTGAGGTGCAGCTCGCCCCTGGAAAGAAAATCTCAAACGTTATCCAAGTTTGAGGCTTCTAGCACACATCTTAAAAACTGCTTCAGAATCACGAGGTGATTCGATGTACACCTTGAGATGTTAACAACCACCATCTACAATTCGAACATTTTGAAGTTCTTTTGAGGCTTGGTACTCTGTTTGAAGCTTCAGCAGTGAGCTCAATATGAAAAACACTTGAAAGGGCTATTCCTAAGACTTTGATTACTTATATAGTCAATGTTTCCCGGCTTGAAAGGCGAGGGAGGCGGGGCAGGGGGCGGAACGCGTTGCGTGTGCGTACGCGGTTCTTGGCACGAGTTCAATTCAAGCGCATCGACTATTCAAAAAGCTCGGTCACCGCTCTTTCTTTATATGTTAAACTATTTTTAATGCATAATACATGAATAAAATCAATAAATAATTTAAAAAAAGGAATGCAAAGAGCGATGAACGAGCTTTACAGATAGTCGCTGGCGGTTGAATTGAACTGGTGCCAAGAACCGTGTATGCACACGCTACGCGTCCCGCCCTTTTGCCCGCCTCCCTCGCCTTTCAAGTCGGGATACATTGACTATAGGAAACGAGACCACCCTACTCAAGTTGAGACATTTCATCGATACGACTGGCTCAAGCCAACTCACGCCGCAAGCAGATTCATCAGTGATACTGGCGTGGTTGGGTCACGGCTCAGAGGCGGCGACATGATGTAGCGAGCGGCATGAAGCCAGTCTGGGTTGTAGTAGTGGCTTCCGTCCGTGCCAAGACTTGCTGCGATCGGCTCGCCGAACACGATTGATCCTAAAAGTCTTGCTCATTTGAGCTCAGATGACCTAAAAGCTCGAACCTTTCTTCCGATGGTAAGAAATGGCAGCGGCGGCTCCCTTCGACATCACATGCACCACGTAAAGTGGGCAGTTGGCTTGAGAAGCCAAGACGCAAGCCCGATTCGTGGCCTCTGCTTCGAGCTGAAAACATTGAATAATTCTTCTATTGAGCTCCTGAGAACCTCCTCAGGACGACTCTGAGTATGACCTTCGGGTCCAGTCACGCCCATCTCCAAGAGTTCCTTGCTTTTTTCTTGGATAACGGCCCCGTTTTCTGCATGTACTCTGGCTAGGGCTTTGAGCGCCGAGCATCTGACCATTCCTGAAGATTTTAACTTAGGAATAGTTCATAAGTGAGGCAGAACCTTGGTAGAACTCTTCGTCACGGACCATGAACATGCCGGCGTAGGCGAGGAAGAACTTGAACGAGTTGATTCCTTGAAAAAGTTGAAGTGACTTTTTAGAGATGGATACCATATTCGGGTCTAGTGACAATCTCCATCTCCTTGGAGACTTCCTCGTTCCAGGAAGTGATGGCCATAGAAAGTCCATAGTCACAGCAGACTTTCGGGTCGGCCCAGCCTCGCCATCTCTCGTAGGCGACCAGTAGCGATTCTCCCTTGTTTGGAATGACAAAGTCGATGATCTGATGAGAATTTTTTGAGAAAGAAGAGATATTGTCAAACCATGGTGGTCCCTCCAGCAATGGCGGCTTCCGTACCTCGGTGGAAGTCGTCTTTGGCGATCTGGAAAATTGTTTTCCAAGGCTTATGAACTTGAATAGCCCAACTTTCCTGGCTTGAAAGGCGATGTCCGCATGTTTACCGTAGTGAAGAGTTGCGGTCGCGATGCGGCCTATGGCGGGAAAATGAAACTTCGATAAACGAAATTTTATCTACTACACACACTAATCAATGAACAAGAGAAGGAGGCTTGGATTTGAAATTTCGTTTCCCGCTAAAAGCCGCGTCGCAACCGCAACACGGCATTTCTAATGGGGTGAGGGAAGGTGGGCGAGGCGTCAAAGTTTCTGAATTTACAAAAAAAGTAAATGCGCGCTTCGGATAGAAGGACTGTGACGTCACAGCAGGTTAAACTGAGTATTCAACGGCATGAAGAATACATTTGGCTGCGTACTTGAGATTTGAAATTTCGCGCTAAAATTTTTTTGACGTTTCCCCACCCCGTTTGGGAACGCCGTGCGCAACGCTTCACCCTTTTCAGTTAACTTCACCTTTCAAGTCGAGAGGATTGACTATAACCGTGGAAAAATAAACTATACCTCTCCCATGAAGGGCAACTGCATGTGGGTGTGTGGATCGATTCCTCCCGGAATCACCATTTTGTCGGTAGCGTCGACAATTTCCATATCTGCCGTTGGCGTAATATTCGGCAACACCTTACTAAAAACAAAAGTCCTGGAATTTTATAAGTGTGTTCAACATACACAATGATTCCCTCATGGACGAGAACGTCGGACTTGAAGATGCCGTCCTCGTTGACGACCGTTCCGTTTTTGATCAGCAACATGATTCTTTAATTAGGATATTTTCTCAAAGTCGCATAGAAATGAAGCTTATGATCGGTATGAATTAACCAAAGGGCCAATATTTTCAATATTTGAAAATTTCCAGTTCTCCAAGAAACACATTTCTCCACGAGGAAATCAAAAAAGGGGTATTTTAACGACTTTAGAAATTCAGGATTTCATGCCAACTACACAATTGAACTTTCATTGCCACGGGTCTTTCCAATGGATTTTGATGAATTTTTTTGGGGGGAAGGATTTTCATGCTCCTAACCCAAAAAAATATAGAGAACCTTCAATGGAACCAATAATATTTTTATAAAAAAATTGCTGAAAAATAAATAAATCTTAAAGAAATAGTAACAAGAATACAATAAGAAGTCAGAAAAAAAGCGAAAGTTTTTTAGGGGGGCGGGGGGATTTACATGGTTATAACCCGAAAAAAATATAGAGAACCTTCAATGGAATCAACAATATTTTTATGTATTATTTTATAAAAAAATTGCTCAAAAATAAATAAATCTCAAAGAAATAGTAACAATAATACAATAAGAAATTTGAAAAGAGCGAGAAAGTTTTTCCGAATGAGTAATCATCCCGTTTTTGAATAGAACCGACATTTTCCTTCCCTTTCATGGGTATAATCACAAAAATACAACTTTTTCAAATTTAAAAAATGTAAATTTGGACTGGAAACGTCGAGAATAACTCAAAATTAGTCGATCTTATTGAGAATCTCACTGTAAAGTAAGTGAAGGAGGGTTAGTTGAAGCGAGTCGATTGGGGTGAAATGACAGCGATTCCAACGTTTTTTTTTATTATTCAAGAGATTTTCGGGTTCTTTTGATAGTGTTAAGCTGTCTGGACGTGAAGATAAATCGAATCAAGTGGCAACCAGGCGGAGAGAACTTTTTTGATGGGCTCCACGCCAATGTTTCTGGCCGACAACTGTCCTTCCCAGTGTGCACCTCTGTCGTTGGGTCATTCTCGCCGTTTGTTTGGAGTCCGATGGATTTCTTTCGTGGCCGTTTTAGAGCCTTTTTCGAAAAGCGTGTTGAAAATGGCTGCAAAAAGGGGACCCAAAACCGATTTTCGATCCATTTTTTGCGATTTTGGAACCATTTCGGAGCTTTTTGTTCAAAAATGGCTGCAAAAAGGGCACGGAAAAGCTCAAAATGGTCGATTTTCGATCCATTTGATACAATTTTGAAGCCATTTCGGAGCTTTATTCGAAAATGGCTGCAAAACCGAGTCCCAAAACCAATTTTCGATCCATTCACTGCAATTTTGAAGCCATTTTGGAGCTTTTTATTCAAAAATGGCTGCGAAAATGGGACCCAAAAGCTCAAAATAGCTGATTTTCGATCCATTTTCAGCAATTTTGTAGCCATTTTAGAGCCTTTTTTGAAAAAGCGTGTTGAAAATGGCTGCAAAAAGGGGCCTAAAAGCTCAAAATAATCGTTTTTCGATCCATTTGCTTCAATTCTGAAGCCATTTCTGAGCTTTTTTTTTTCAAAAAACGGCTGCAAAAAGGGGTCAGAAAAGCTTAAAATGTTCCATTTTGCATCCATTTCTCTACCCTTTTCTAAAAATATTGAAAATTTAGTTATCGATTGGACTAATTACGAACTTTTTCGGTTGATATCTTGAACTTTGAAAGATACAAATACTTAGAAAACATTTTGCAAAAATTATGACTAAATTTCTAAATTTTCTTTGGCCGCAAACTTCGCGTTTTCTAAACTACCACCCTCATTTTTCTCCACTTTTCAAGGGTTTATTATATCAAACATGATGAAAACTGTTACAACAGCACACGGCGGTACATTTGGTGATGAGATTCCGGAAGTTTTGATGGCAGGGATGTACGATTTTTCCAGAATTTTCCATTAAAAATAATTCCGTCAATTTTGGGCTCAAAAAACGCACATCCCTGTAGTAAATTATGCTCACTCGCTATGCGGTACAATTGAAAACTGAAAAAATCTATAAACAAATTCAAAAAAAGCATAAATTATGACTAGAGTGGCAAGTGATTAAAGAAAATTGTGTTTCTAAAAAATCGATAGCACATTGAAAAGCTCAAAACAACACGGAGAAATCGGCACAACCGTCAAAAAATTACAAAATTAAATACATAAATTATTATAAATTAAAAGAATGATAAGATGAGTTAATGTTGAATAGAAAAGACTATCTACAACTCCCACCCCAAATCCCAAGGAAAAAAAATGGTTTCTTTTTTTGGAAGGCTACCAAAATCCGGTAGTCCTGCCGCCGGGCGGGTTCCTTCCACGGCTGTTTGAAGCTCGGTCCGTTCCTGAAAAAAATGAACTACTATTTGATATAACATGAGCAATAATGAGTCAAATAAAGATTGAGAAAAAAAATCCTTCTTTTTTGATGAAAATTGACGAAAATCGCAAGTTTACTGTGAGATTTGAAATTTTAAAATATTCAAACGTATTTTTCGCCCAGTTTTTTTAAATTTCAATTTTCAAAGAATGGATTTTTCCTACTCGAGAGGTTTTCGCCGAGCATATTAGGCTTCATGGCGCAGTGGCCAACACAGAAGCTTACGAAAAATATGACCAAGGTTCGACTCCTTTCAGAGGAATTCATTTTTTCCAATACTTTTTGTTGATAATGATAAATGAAACTATGGGAAATGCAGGCTGAAATCGATCCAAAGTAGTTCAAAATTCAAACTTCCCTACTAGAATTTCCGAAATTGTCAAATCTTTTCTTCATTCAACTCCTTTTTCAAACAGGATTTTTTTTTTCTGAACTCAATAGCCTTCTGGAAGAAATAAAAATCACTAGAAAACTGAGAAAAGTTCGAACCAAAGTCAATCGAGGAGTCCATCGTGTTCTTGCGATTCCTGTCCCGGTCAAAATCTCCCGATTTTTTGTGTCCATTGGCTATCGGTTTGGAGGAGGGCGCGTTGTCTCGTTCCACCTTCTCGGCCCAGCCAAACTGAAAGACCAAGAAGCTTGAAAATGGTAAAAAATAGTCTAAAAAAGAATCTAAAGGACAAAGAAGCTTGAAAATAGTGAAACATAGTTTAAAGATATACTTGAAAGACCAGGAAGCTTAAAAAAAGAGAAAAAATGGTCAGAAGATAAATCTGGAGGACAAGAAAAACTCAAAAAAAAGTACTTTGAAAAGATATCTGAAGGATCAAAAAGCTGAAAAATGGTAAAAAATATTCTAAAAAAGGAATCTGAAGAAGGACCAAGAAGCTTTAAAAAGAGAAAAAATAACCAGAAGATGAATCTCAGACTAAAAAGCTTTAAAAAAAGAAAATAAAGCAAATCTAAAAGGCCAGGAAATCTAAAAAAAAAAGGTCAAAAATGTGCGGAAAAAAATCTGAAGCTTAAAAATGAAATCACTATAGTAAAATCACCTTCTCCCTCTGCGCAACGACGCTGAAAATGAACGGACTGTTCGGGGACAAGGCGAGGAATCCGCCCTTGGCTTCCTGTAATGAGCCGTCCCTCCAGGCCACGTTTCCACCAACGATTGTAGCGCAGACCTTGAAAATGACATTTCAGTGAGATTTTCTATGAGTCTCTCAAAAAAAGTTTTTTTCGCCCGCTCAAACTGTCTGACGTGTCTGCGCCCTCTTTTCTCTCGCCGAAGAGGTCGTAGAGCACTTCAGAGCGTTTAGGAGAGCCCAGAGGAGTCAGACTTTTTCGATTTTTAGCGATCGGAATAAAAATGGGATGAGCCTCTGCTTACACTATCTGTACAGCAAATAAAATTTAACGAATTTCAAAATTTCGTAATTTTGCACGAAAGACGCAAAAAAAAATCCTTCACGGTCCTAATTTGGCAAAGATCCAAGAAACATCCAAAAAAAGTCAGGAAAGCCGGAAAATCGCTGCTTTTTCAAAGTACATCTGATCTTTCCAACGTCAAAATTATTTTTTTATTAATTTTTCGGCTTTCAAATCTACTCAAACCAGTTCAAAACGCTTTTTTCTTGTCTTCTTCTTCTGGTCATGGATTTTTCGCAACCAGGCTCTCAAATGGATCCAAAACCTACCGTTGCATGAACTGTGAGGTCGTCGAAGACGGAGACATCCGCCTTGGACTGTCCTTCCGAGGCCCCGAGTTTCTTCTTGGAACTCGCGTCCCAGACGACGAGGTCCGCGTCGGCTCCAACTGCTATCCGGCCCTGCAGAACTCAAACTTGTTGTTTCTCTCAAAAAAGTTCAACTTATAGAGAGGTGCACGCGGCCGTTTACACTGCATGAGTCATCGGCAGGTTATTTTTTACACAAGTCATTTTCAAAAAAAAAACTGACACCTACGGTTTTTTTAAAAAACGTGAGCGACTTTAGCTTTGAACAAACGCCCTTCAAGGACCACTTGAACTTTTTTATCTTTCTAAAAAAAAGTATAGACTTCCACAGTAACCCAAAAACAAGGCAGAAAAAAATGAACTAAGTTTATTTCTGAAAAACGTGAATGACTTCCAGCTTCATATAAATCCCTATAAGGACCACTTGAACTTTCTCATCTTTGAAAAAATAAAAGCTACGGTAACTCAAAAAAAAAAGTCTGAATGATGATAAACTCAGTTATTTTTTGAAGAAAGACGGGTTCCAGCTTTGAAAAAAGCCTTATAAGGACCACTTGAACTTTTTTTATTATTGATTATTCGAAACTCGTCTTTCTTCTGTATTTTTTGAAAAAGACGATTTCCAACTTCAAATAGAGCCCTATAAGGACCACTTGAACTTTTTTTATTATTGATTATTCGAAACTCGTCTTTCTTCTGTATTTTTTGAAAAAGACGATTTCCAACTTCAAATAGAGCCCTATAAGGACCACTTGCAATTTTTTTAATATTTTCGATTTTTTGTAATTTTTTCAAAAGGGAAAGCTAATTAATTAACTCTCGAGTGCAACCTTGTAATATTATTATTTTTGCTGCCTCTCATACCTTTTTGGGATACATATTGAAGACTTTCGAAGCATTGGATGACGTCACGGCGACGAATCTCATCGGGTCGATTTTCCCCGTCCGGACAGCTTTTTCCCAAACGACGAACATTCGTTCCTCCGCTCCAGTTGTTCCCTGAATTTTTTGAGTCTCTTCCTTTTTTTTTGGGAGCTTTACCTTTGGCATTTTCGTGAAATCTTCTGCATGAGTTCGTTTTTCGGAGCTGACGGCTTTGTGGGCCGATGTGCAAATCGCCAAGGGCTGGCTGAATTTTTTTGAGATGAGAAAAGGAAGAAAGTATTTTTCTTTCTTCAGAACACTATTGAAATCACACTTTTTGACTTTTTGAGCCAGTTGTTCCTAGCTTGATTCCCATAAGTTCAGAAAAGGAGGATATACACCTAGAATTTGAAAACTATTTTTTTCAAAGCTTCTTTTACCTACCCCTTGAATGAAAAATGTCACGGATTCTCTATTCATTCATATCTAAATAAGAACAGGACACTAATCTCTTGCTTATCAACGGATTAGCACAGAAATTATCAGAAAAACTCACGCGAGCCGCATATTTATGAAAAAGTATTCAATGGATTAACACAAAACTAAAAATGGCATCCATCACCTATTTTAACTTCAATTACTTATTTTGAGAGATTTCATAATTAAAGAGAATGCTCAAGAGCAGAGAAAAAGAACTCTGCGTCTCTCTAGCCCCCGTCCAAAAAAGGCGTTCCTGGATTTTCAATTCAAAATATTGTTCTTCAAGTTTCAATTATCTACGATGACTTTTTTTGGGAATACAGTTTTCTTATCTTTCAAAGTGTCATTCCAAGTTGAATCAGTTCGAGATGACGACCTTTTTGCCTTCAGGCTTGAAACGAACCTATGAATTTTTTCCAGAGCTTACTCTCTATGATTTTTGGGAAAAAGTTTTATTTAGTTAATACGTATCTAACAATATTCGGATAATCACCTCGACAAGGCTGAGATGATGGCCTTCTTGCCTTCGGGCCGGAGAGGGACCTCGGTGAGG